ATGCTTTGAAATCTCCACAGGCTTGCGTTCCATGACCCAGTTTTTCTTTCTTATCCCACCCCATTCTTCACACCCATTGGTTCGCATCAGCATGTGTAAAGATGGATTGTTTTCCTTTTCCATTACTCTTTCTCGTTAAGCACACTCTTGTCTCTCAAGTTGATAGTCCTACCTAATCATTTGTGCCTGTGCCTGTTGGTTTATAACATTAATGTATTCATTAGGTTTTTTTGAAAGAGGACGCCACTACCTCCCTCATCTTTATTTGTATTCTTCCCATATGAGACCAGTCTTTCCACTGCATTCCATTCATTCGTTTTCTGCTGAGTCGCTAGTGTTCCTTGATCCTTGTGCTGATTGTCCTTTTAGTCTTTATGTCCTTGCAATTTGTGCTGCAGCATTTGAGCACTCTATTTGGTGAAGATGTTTATCCTTTTCTTCAAGTTGGTATGAATATACCATTTCATTAGTAGTGGCCCCAGAGTCTGAGCCAGTTAGCAAAATGTTATGCATATCACTCGTTTTTCCTGTCCCTCTTCCTTTTCTTTCATACTTCCCGTCTTGCCATCCTCCCATGACTATCCATATGTTGTATTGTATTGGTTCTTCTGGATATCCGTTTCCAAAAAAATATCCGAGTTAGTTTTTTTGGTTTATTTTCCAAAAAATCATAATCGGTGAATCGTAGGCTTATGATCATATGTATCAGTGTTACGATGTTAATTCTTTAAGCATAATCTCGACACATCAACCATTGTGCCACACTTCCACTAGTACTTTTAGGCCACAACATGGGATATGGGGAAGTCCCTGGCATTCCTAGAAATTCACATCTGCACTGTGACCCAAGGGCACTCGTGGTAGTTTACCATAGTGGTTAACATGTATAGATTTTGAATTGCTTTACCACAGATAGAGTCCCGCTGGGAATGGTGATGAGACATAGGCGAGGTCGAAACTGTAGTTCGCCCCGGATGATAATACCTTTTGAGAAGCAAGGCAATAGAAAATTCAATGGAAACTTATGGCCTTCTCATATTGTTTTAGGAAAATTCAACTACCAGCCATTCATCACCTTAAATGAAATAGAATGAATACATCTCATATTTATTATCTACTAGTAGTCCCAAAAGCCTACTTTTAAAACGAAGAATAATACCTAATTTTCAATCATACTATTCTTACGGACTAAAGATTAGAATACTCACGAGTATGGTCATAATAATTTTACCAATAACCTACAGGGGCTAAATGATATTCATAGGCTCTGAAAACGGCATCTGAAACCGGTGGTGAAGGTGACTACACTTCACTAAATCCACTTGAAGCGTTACCGAAATAAACGAGAGCACACGGTAATATGAATAGGTAAATGGGCCATAGGAAGTGGGATTAAGAAAAAAAGTATGTGGCATTATAAACTACCTCAAAAATGATAAAGTAGTGATGTCTTAGCAGGTTAAAAGATAATTGGTCAATGAGATTGCCTTTACTTGCCACTGATATTTTGTAAATCCTTGCTAACAATTGCTCCTATCACTGATGATGCCAGAGAAGCAGTTTAGAGTGTACCAATTCAACGGCCCATGTCAGAAATAATCTTGAATACTATATCAGAGGACGTAAAATTAGGTGTGCTCCCCGAAGTCTCTCAGTTCCTCCGACCAAGTTATGAAAAAGAATATCAGACCAACACTGTGCAGCTAAAGCGACTGCGATCAAACAAAAGGCCACACTAGCTTGATCTTCATATCCATAATTTTTAAAATCTTTATTCTGCATTTCAGTACTTTTGACCACCTTTCCAAAGGAGTTGAAGGGGGTTTCACTCTAGAAATGGCTACTGATGAAGCACGTGCTTGTCAAGACTTGCTTCGACAAGCTAAGTACCATCTGAATCGTGCCAAAACTCGCGAAGAACACGAGAGGGAAGTACGACAACGCCAGGTTGGTGCAGTCATTTGTTTTTTTTCCTCTAAAACAATAATAGTATATTTTTCGAATTTTTTCTATTTCGGCACATTTTCTTTAATCGTTTTTTTTTCCATTTTTCCGGTCCTTACGGAGGTTATAAACATACTTTTAATCATACATCGTGGAAGCCTTCTTAAACAAAAATTGAATATACTTTGCAGAATATTTGATTCAATTATCGGCTTTCTGTAAAAAAGGTTTTAATTTATGTTTTTTGTAACAGGAAGAAGAGAAGGAGGCTCAGCGCAAGAGGCAATTAGAACTGCAGCAACAGGCTGAACTCCTAAGGCAACAACGAGAACGTCGACTAGAAGAGGAACGGGGCAAATTTTTGGAAAAAGCCAAACTGATTGTCATTGAACCGGCTAGTGAGGTAGGTTTTTAATTTTGGTCAATATCATTTATTCAAAAACTTAGAGCGACCTAGCATTGTTCAAGTCCTGTATCAAGATTGCTTTATTTTTTATTTAAGAAGTAAAATCTAGGGGCTATAGCTGTACAACGGAACATTTCGTACCTATAGTCCACTATACTCACTAAGCGCATATTCATTTGGAATAATTCATTTAGAGCAGACTACTCTAAAGTTTGTAGATATGAAGACCAAGATGGTGGTCGCAGTTTCTCTTTTAAACCACCACTCCAATTGCGCAAAGCAGGAAACACGTCTTGTTATGTTGATGGGCTTTTTCTGTTCATGTGAGAGAGAAAGAGTTGGCTAAAAAGTTAGGAAAAGTGACCGTTGTCAGAACCAAAACGAAGAAAACAAAATAAAAGGCTAGTTATATCACCTTTATTTATGGATGGCCTAAACCCTCTCTATGCCTGAGTCTACAAATAGTCTTGAGTTAACTTCCTGCCAGTATTCCTTACATTCAATGTATTGCCCATTCGGTTTGTTTTGTTGGCCTCTAATTTTAGGTTTAACTACAGTGATATCATAATCAGCGCATCGAGAAGGTTAAGACCATTCATTTTTATGTCCATTTCCTGCTATGCTCTCAGTTAGCTCCGGTTTTTGGGCCTCATATCCTTTACAGACGCATTTGTGCCTAGCCCCCCTTCATCTAATGGGACGAACAGTGAGACTTGTCATCTAATTCGACAAGGGGAGTGTAAATATAAAACGCCTGTAGATGCTGGTGGGTTCAAAAATCAGATTTAGCAGAGTCCGCACCAGCAATTGGATATGTGATTAAATGGTCTCAAACTTTTCCTATTGTGAAGTTGGTATAGTTGGAGAGACTTTTATTTTATATGTCAAAGCATGGAGAAGAGATTCGGAGGTCGAGAGAACTAGCCAAAAGAGACAAGTGAAGTCAATCCATCTACCAACGTTCTGCCGAACCAGTTGCACTATCATTTTCTAGTACATTCTGACAATAATGCCGAATATCTGTGACAGCTATGCTTGTCTGTCTATTTAGTCTCCAGACTACCAGGCCCCCAAAGTTGTACTGATTTACTGGAACAGACTTCACTCACTGAGAACCTCTTTTCTTGATTTCAGAAATTCCCTCTCCCCCTATTTTTATCGCGATTCCTTTTCCTCCGATTAGCGATATATCCTTGATCCAGGCGTCTCCTTTTTGCT